AGCGCTGCGCTTTTATTTTGATTAGATAATCATCAAGTGTTCAAGAATAGAAGCAGTTCAAGTCTGAGAGTATACATACAATATCCATATGTATATAATTTTAATGCTACAGCCTTTGTGTATATAAGTATATATTAAGTATATACCCCTTTGTGTATATATTTAAAGATGTGCATCTTTAAGCATGACAGTTGAAATGAAATGGTAACACTTTAAAATAAGAATCCATTCGCAGCATTAAGATTAATGAAAGCGGTGTAAGTATTGTTCCTTGTTAGAGTGTGTTAATTTCAACATTTACTATTACTATTATTATTATTTTTACTACTACTACTACTACTAGTATGGTTCAGTACTGGTTTTGTTAATAAAGCACTATTTTTATAGTTTTTGTTCAGTATCAATTTTAAAACAATCGGTTAATTAATCGGTATCGGCCAGTGTGGTCCAACCTAGATATCGGTATCGGCAAAATCCACTATCGGTCGACCTCTAGTCAGAACTATTCATAACCAAAACAAATACTAAAGAGCTACTGCAGATGGTCACTTCTATCTATTTAATGAAACCCATTCAAACAGATCAGGTCAGGAAACTGAGCAATGATCTCCTTTAAATGATCAATGCATGTAAGGTCAATTACCAAATCAACTAAAATATAAACCAGTTATCACACGTTGCTTATCGTAAGTCTGGTGTTAGTGGCAGAGATCAGTAGACACGACTTTTAATCTTGGCTTTATGACAAATTTATGAATTATGATCGCGTGGAGCACTGTCAAAAATGGCGACCAGTGGTGGACACGAGGAAATAAAAGAGCTCCAAACCCTCAAACGTGTACGATGCGCTATGCAAAAGTTTAAACAACGTTTGCTCCAATCTATTTTCGGGAGGGGGGGACTAATTACTAGTTATATAAATTTTGGCCTAGTGACATTCAAGTTTAACGCGATATAAAACTTGCTGTATTTAATTTCACACCAACCCAAAGCTTCAGACAAATCATGCTGTTCCAATATAAAGCATTAACTATTAAATTTTTCAGCTCTGCTCTTTTAAGATGACTTGTCATTTATTAATCGCAATGCCCTTTCACGTGCTTCCCCGTTAACTTATACAGATGATGCAGCGGATCGCTCAACTCACCTGCATGGAATCGGCGCTTATAATTTCCCCATTAAGCCTTTTCCCGATCTCGATAGCCAGTTTAGATTTGCCCGTTCCCGTGGCTCCTAGAATCACCACTAAAGACGGGCTGATGCCTTTCCGGAGCACACGCGTGGCGGCCGCCATGACAGCAAGCTCTCAGGGCTGTAGAGTGATCTGAGCATGCGCGGTGATTTCGCAGCGGAGGAGGGAACTGTATCCAAGCAACTAAAACTGTTTCCATAGGAACGGGATTGAAGGATTCAGTTTTAGTATGTACGCGAAGGCAAGGGTGTTTCATTCAGAAATAGGACAGACGTTCAACAATCTCACAAAAGTTATTGGAAAACAGGAATTGTAATATCAATATATATATATGGACAATAAAATGGCACTGCTTGTTCCAAACCTAGCAAATTTCCAAATCTAGTAAATACGTCGACAAATGTTCATATTTTCATCACTAATACAGCCATACAGAATCCTGTCAGCTCTAATAACACATTGCTAGCAGTGCTGTGTAGTAACGGATTACATCTAAACCAGATTATGTAACATGTGATTCCAAAAATTAAGTACATTTATTAATTTAGCAACATTGATTTACTCATGCATTCGTTCATTTATTTGTAATTAGATTATATTACATTTTAAAATGCGCATAATCAGATTACAGTTACTTTTTATGGATTGCATAATTACATATCCACACAATGGCATTCATTTTCATAATTTATTCATTCTCCCTAATCATTCTCTCTTTTTTTCCCCCCAACCCTATTTCTTTTTATATATCAATATGGTACACAATAATCCCATTCAAATCTGGAGGATAAACGAGGTGGGTCAAAAGTAATCTAAACGTAATCAAAAAGTATTTGGAATATGTTACATAAAATGAATAATCAAGTAGATTACATTCATAACTACCATTTTTATCATGTAATTCATTTGTAATCAGTAATGGGCTACATTTTGCAATTAATCTACCCAGCAATGAGTGCTATTTATTAGTAATATGGTGAAACTAGTATTTGTATCCTTAAATGCAAGATTGAGAGCTTTCAGTTTTCACTCACATACTGTATCTGATGAGGTGGCACAGTTTTTAATGCTTTACGTTGGCTGCTTTGACAACACTGTTGACTTTAGCAGGTCGACTTGTGCACCTTCCGGAAGAACACGGGTATGAATAGCTCTCTTCCGTCTCCATGGCAACTGAGCGTTCTGCACCAAGGAAAAGAGAGATGCTATGGTAAAGGCCACTACGACGTGTCAACTAAAAGTGGCTCTCGCTAATGAAACGATCAAATCGAGTTCACACACTCTCATGCAGGTGTTGATAGCTCTTACGCCACACATAGTAAAATGTGCATTATTATTATGGCGCATTTTTTATAACCAGCCATTGCCCCGCTAATCAAGATATTATTTAAAAACTGTCAAAAATCTGTCTTAAGATCATTTTAAAGGGAAAGTTCACCCAGATGTCATATCATTTACTAACCCTGTTGTTTTTCTAAGCCTGTATGAGTCACTCTGCACTTTCACTGCATCTTTTTCATACAAATGTGACTGAGGCATCTCCTGTTATGTTCCACAGAATTAAATCATGCATGTTTGGAACAACATGAGACTGAAATGATGACAGATTATTTATGAGAGAACTATCACTTTAAGTCTTATTCTGTTAAAACGGTTCATTTTCATGGTTTAAGGTGTATGCAAGCAAATCTGAAAGCATTTAAGTGGAGTTAAAAGCTAATTAACAAAGAAAGACAAGCATGCTGAAAGGATTTGAACTGAATTAATTTTATTGTTTACCCAATTTTGAGTTTATGTATATAGGCTTATGAGGTACAGAACACAAAGTGCTTAGACAATGCTGCTGCCATTCTCCTCCCGTTATGACACCTGACAACAAGGGACAAAAGTGAAAGAAAAAACAACAACAGGTTACTGATGGCATATGCATCCCCGGTGTGAAGTATTGTCTATTTGATAGTATTTATTTCTGATTGATCTTTTGGCAAAGCTGAATGTACAAACAGAAGTCACCTCAACCAATCAGTGGTGATTGCTGTGAGCACATGGCCTTTATTTTTTACAAATAATTGCATGACAAATGACCATGTGCATAAACTTCAAATGACCACGGTCATATTGGGAGATAAGTAAGCATATACCACCAGTACAACTTAATATTTAAACAGAAATCAAACAATGATACAATTAATTCTGTAAGAAAATATTAGTACAAAATTCTTTCAGCATTTTTTTCTGCCACAACCGCGATAAGCCAAAGAAATTTCAGAACACAAGGGAATAGGCAGTGAAAACAGCATAAAGTGGCTAGTGATGAAAATGAAATGTTGATAGTTTTGTTTTATTTAACTTTTTGAATTTTTTTTTTTACTTTTCTTAACAAAAATAGAAACTTTGAGATCTCTAGGGAAGGCAGGTGGGCCAACCAAGTTTTAGGACAAATGACAGAAAAATAGAAAATAAAGTCTATTAACAGTGCTGATTTTCATATTCAAAACACAAAGTATGTATTTTTACACAATGTCCTGTACACCCCTACTATTATATACATATGTCCGAAGAATATGCCACAGTTTATATACACTGCAAGGCTGTGCTGGACACTGTCCTGAATGTTCAAGATAACAATAATATAAAATAACTGAAAAGAAAAAAAACAAAAACAAACAGTGGAACACAATGTAACAAAGCAACAGTGATGCAACTTCCTGTCTGTTAAACTTACTCTGTCATCATGCGGCAATGGGGGCACACAGCTCTCCTTAAATTTAGGTTAATTTAGATAAAGCACTAATAACGGAGAAGTTACTTTGATCAAAGACCCTTAAATATATTTACCCAGAAAATTTCAAGATCCCCCCACAAAAAAGGGCGTGATGGTTTAGAAGATCAATTACACATGCATATAGATTGCTACATTTCAAATAATGCCTAATTTGGCATGCTAATTCAATGAAATAATACTTCCCCGCCCAAATACTTCAGCTTTCGCAAAAGAATTTAAGATAACACACATTCATGGGTTTAAATCTTTAAATTTCAAATGAAAATCAGAAATAACGACCCTCTTTGGAAAATGTTTGAACCAGTTCCACAGCTTCCACAAGTTCGTCTCCCCCATTGCGAAGGCAAATGTGCAAAGAACAAAAACTGAAGAACCAATCTCAAAATACAGAGTCCATTCCATTAAATATCCCACTTTTGGAGAAAGCACTCAGTTCTACACAGTTCCTATTGAAAATATGGCTGGACCATGAAGGTTTATGCACGTTTTAGTTCAGCGAGTCTCCGTAGTAACTGCTGTCGTCTGTTTTTCAGCTGCTTCTTCACCTGGGCCTTCTGTTTGTCGCTGACATGCAGCGTACGCAGATATTCTGTGGCCTTGGTCAAGATCACAACTTTGGGTGTCTTTGGACAGTCAACCAGGCCTGGGATCTCATCCCGTAGGGCCAGAAATCGGGAGCGTAGGTCATTGCGTCTCTTTCGCTCCAAGAAGTTGTGTGTCTTACGCTTGTCCGTGTCCTCACAGTCAGAACTCTGAGGGCTGGATGGTTGGGATTTGAGGTGGTAGGATGTGTGTGTTGGAGAAGCGGAGACAGTCTGAGATGGGGTGGGGACTGAGGGGGAAGGCAAGGGGCTTTTTCTTTCTGGGGTTTGGGGTGGGGAACCCAGTCGGGGCTGTAAGGTTTCTTGCCTGATCTTTTTGCGAGGTGGCTCCTCTTCAAGATAACTGTCGGGAGTGCGGGCAGCGTAGTTGTGCTGTTGCTGGTGAATGGAGATGTGGAAACGCTTCATGCAAGGGTCATAGGGGTCTGCACGAACTGTGATGGTCACTGGTTTACGGGTGTTCACCAAGCGCGATTTGTTCTGCTTATGTTCCACCGTCACTACATCAATCTCTTCATCATCTGAAAGAGCAACAGAAAGAAATGTAGACTGACTGTGTGCAATGCCACCTCCTACCAAAGTCCAACACCATTCCATTCACTCATTCTAGCATGTTAGAAAACTCCATTCAGAATGCAAGATTTTTAATTAGATGGGTTCCAAAACGACCATATGAATCTTAGGTTTTTATCAGTTCCCTATTCTCAGAAAGAGGAAAGTAAATGAGGCTTTGAACGGCAATAATGAACTTGGAGTCACCTCTGATGTGTATTTTGATAAGAGAAGCATCTGTTCCGAGTTCCCTCTACTCTGATTTCACTATGCAATTATTTCGATCACGGAGCACAAAGCGGAATATTTGTCACAAAATCAGAAATCCACTATTAAAAGTTATATTTAAGCCGAAAATAAATATACATATTTTCCGGGTCCATACAAAGAAATTAAATGGTATCCAGTGTCGTTTTGTCACATTTGACTTTCATTGCATGGATAAAAAGAGCTGAATCATATGTTTGGTATTCTGCTGTATGTCAGCCCATAGAATGACATGAGCAAACGATACAGAATTTTTATTTTGGGTAAAACGTAAGCCTTCAAGTTGCATGTGCCCTTCAAGTGAAAATATAGAACAATTAAAAAGCCAAAAAAAAGGTGGCAACTTCAGGTATTGGCCCTTGAGTGTCACTTTAGGATTCAAGCATCCTTATTATGGGTTTCTGTTGCTGGCACCACCCACAAATTAAACAATTTCGCCTTTTGTTCCACTTGAGGAATGTGGAAGCTCAGCAAACTATTACATACCACATATTAAGAAGAAATCGAAATGAAATGCTAATCCCATGGCACCAATGCAACTTTGCTATTCAAGTATGTCAGGTTTTGACTTAGTTCTACTTGATGCACAAATGAATGGGAACTCTGCGGTGCATGATCATAGACATTGAGATCCGTCAGGTGTCGAAAGGTGGTGTCAAGAATGCAAGATTTTTAATTAGATGGGTTCTAAAACGACCATATGAATCTTAGGTTTTTATCAGTTCCCTATTCTCAGAAAGAGGAAAGTAAATGAGGCTTTGAACGGCAATAATGAACTTGGAGTCACCTCTGATGTGTATTTTGATAAGAGAAGCATCTGTTCCGAGTTCCCTCTACTCTGATTTCACTATGCAATTATTTCGATCACTGAGCACAAAGCGGAATATTTGTCACAAAATCAGAAATCCACTATTAAAAGTTATATTTAAGCCGAA